ATACACACACACACACACACATATATATATATATATATATATATATACATTTATATGGTAGCCACACGTACCGTTTGTATACGTCTCTGGGCCGAAGATAATATCGCCATCCATTCCCAATGCTCGTTTAGCTGCGTGTGCTCGTGCATGCTCGTGTGCGTCAGTGTAGAGATGCGCATTGGGCAGACATAGTGCGTTCTGCAGAGGAGTGGGGTGTGTATGATATTAAGGGTACAGGGTTATGGGGGAGGGGAGGAGGAGGAGGAGGTTAGTTTAAGGGTCTGGGGGTGTTTGGCAATGTTCATACTAAACTAACAAGCTGTAACGTAATCAAGTAAGATGGAATACCACACTCCATTCTATCAATCTGTTGAAGTGACAACAGAGTTCACTTTCTCTAATTTAAGTACCTGCGATAAAAATAGCGCTCACAGTGCCCCCATTCTTATGTAGTATGTAACAGCTCAACAATCATCTGATTAAGTGACAACACTACTCACCATCTCTCCTTTATTTAGCTTTTCTGGTTGATAACAGTACTATCTCTCTATCACACACATACACACACGCATACACACAGACAGAGACAGAGACAGAGAAGAGCCACACGCGCGCACACACACACACACACACACACATATATATATCGTACAATTATCTCTCACATACCTGTGAGGGTAAGGGGGGCACCAGCACATGCGGATGGTCAGCGATGAGACTATCACGCAGCCATGCGAAGTGTTGGTAGCGTCTGCGCACACTCACGCCTGCACCTGCACGTCGTTTATTCTGTTGTTGTGTCCTATAGACAGGGAGGAAGAATCGCATAAACAATTAGTGTCGTATTTTAGATGTCGCAAATATCAGATGTATGCCGTTTATTCTTTTGTTGTGTTCTATAAACCGGCAAGAAGCATCGCATGAACAATTAGTGTCGTATATTATATATCGCAAAATCAGATGTATGTCGTAAATTCCCGTTCCCGTGCGAACATCACTATACACAACCCTCAGCACTAAGATGCACACCCATCCACAAAATGATGTAATCCTGAAGACAGTATATGTGACGTATACACAGAATAAATACAGGACGTAAACACAGAATCTATATATGACGTAGACACAGAATATATATGAGAAGTAAACACTAGAATATATATGACTTAAACACATAATATATATGTGACGTAAGCACGAACATATATGGCGTAAGGAATATATTAAGAAACCGTACACATCTCTTAACACACAGGACACGCAGGCCCCTCAATGTTCCGTTCGCGCAAAAGTACCTTTCTCAGAAGCATATGATTATATATATATATATATATATATATCACACCCTTAACAACCCCATATATCTCTAATACATGCATACACACCCTTCACTACCCCATATATCTCTAATACATACATACACACCCTTAACTACCCCATATATCTCTCATGCATGCACACTCACCCTTCGTGCCAGATGACTGCATACACAGTGTGCTTGTTCATGTAGTTGCCCATAGCAATCGGATCAGACACATCAATCAGACGTTCGCTATATGGCCTGTCCTCTGTTGGGGGTGGGGGGGCCAATCTCCTTGCACCAGGGCTGCTGTCTCCTGATTGGTCGGCGGGTGCGTCCTGGTCGTTGCCATGGTTACGGCTAAAGTCGGCCATATCACGGGCGGCCGGTGGTAGCAGAGATTTGCTGCGGGTGTGTTGCAGGTACTTATGCGGTGGTTCCAGATCCGGGGATGGCGATGAGGAGAGACTTATCTCTGGCATTTCCATATTAGGTCGAGGCGCGATCTGTGCCATCGGGCCTGTACCATGGCGGAGAGATTGTTGAGGATATATAAATAGACTTTTTCTTTTTCCATTTATAGATGATAGATCTTTTCTAATTCTATTTATAGATGTTCGTAATCTATATTTAGACGAGTATTGCAGTATATCTGTAACGCACACAAAGGTTTATAGAGATATGAAGACATGTTCACGACTTGTCACTGAATGACTGCGATATGTACACTTATGTCCCGTTGTCAGGATACAGACATATATTTATGCCCGGATTTTATATATATATATATATATATATATATATATATATAGTAATATAGTACAGAC